AGCGTGCGCTGACATAGTACAGGTAATCTTAGTCGCTGTATTCCCCCCACAACTGAGCGTGCGCTGACATAGTACAGCTTCAACAGTAGCCAGTCGTTGCTGACCTAGGCCCACTTATTACCACCCCTCCCTCTCGCAAAATCAACGATGCCCGTACCATGGAGTCGCCTTGTCAACGCTGCTATCGTCAGTGCCCTCATTGCCATTGGTCTCAGCTACCTTTGTCCACCCATACTCGGAACAATAGGCTTCACCCCAGGAGGTGTTGCGGCAGGTAGACACAATCCATTGAATTGTCCCTCAATATTACTCACATACTATGGTGCAGGGTCCATGGCCGCTGGAATTCAATCATCAATCGGCAACGTGGTTGCAGGATCCATGTTCGCAATCTGCCAGAGCATTACCATGGGTGGCAGCATTCCCTTCCTTTGGATAATTACATCGGCGACAGCTGCAGCAGGACTAGGAGCCCTGATTGGATGGGTCAGTGGTCCAGACAGGGGAGACAGCACCAGTCCGATGAGCCGTTTCTGGAGCCGGATTCAGAGCACAGCACGCAGTATATTCCAGGAGTCCAGCTATATGTGGAGGAAGATTTGGCAATGGTTGTAGGTAGCATGTCATGCGTACGGCGAGATTCATAGATCCATAAATATTGTATACCCAACCTTGTGCGCCATGAAGCATCCATCATTATACGTAGGGCAACACGCCATCCTTGACACTCTGCACTACGCGCCCTAGCGCAGTATTGATCAGAGTCATACGTGGGAGTGGTTCCAGGTGATCACCAAGCTTTGCGGCGAAATTTTTCCTCGTTGCATACTCGACCAACGCATCGTAGGGCATAGTATATCCGAGAAACACCGTCTGAAACTTGAGTTTACGTCTCTTATGCTGTTTGGCTGCTGAGTTGACTAAAGTCTGCTCTTGTTGAGCAGGTGCCGACTCGGAAGTCGGAGAATCCTAAAAGCTTCGAGGTAATGAGCGCGGCGATCGGGGTTTAGGAGAGCATGCTACATACTTTGCACCCACACGGCTTCGTATTGATATCCTGGGAGCCATGGGCTCAGGCATTGAGCCTCTATTGCACGAAGTAGTACTTTGCAATTTGATTGTAAGACAATTATGTGTAGAAAATACAAAAATGTAAGTACATATAGTGTGCAAATACGGTATCAAGTGTTGATGGCTACCATGTCCATCTCGAAAGCACGTCCGAGTCCAAATGGACTCCACATCACATTTCCAGCTCGATCTGAGATGTCGCCGCGGTCGCTTAGATTCTCTTTTGCACTCATCTTGTTGTTCTAGAGGCTTGAAGCTTGATGATGCAAAGTCGACGTGTTCGTGAAGAGACCGGCTCCAGTAGAGATATGGTAGATCAGGCGACTGACTATGATCATCAGCCAAGATGCGTGTACAAAATCCTGCTCTTAATATGTGCATCATGAACATAGCATGCGTCAGTCAAAACACTAGCGATACAACGTGCCCACCAGATCATCAAACTACCTATGCAAACAGCCGCTTCGTGTATCTGGTAAGACAGAACAAGAAATGAGCGACAACTCCAATTGGGTCATGGCAGCACTTACGAATTTAACCCATGAACCCCACCCTCAACCTGCGCACTCGCCGTACGAAGCTCAAAACGCACCTTACCCTCCTTCACGCCCTCCCGAAGCTCCGACACGCTACGCACGCCGATATCCTGGAACGAATGTTGCAGACCCGCATACAGGTACGGCACGAACTGCAGCACCGAACCCTTGTCTTGCACATCCCCGGATACACCTTGCGCAACTTTCACCGCAGATGACTCGGAGAAGTAGCGCGTCGTCGCTGCGTTCTCGTGCGTTGTCCCCTTCTTCTTCGTCGGCCCATTGCTAGTGATACCGTTCGCAGCGGATGTAGGTACAGGTTTGCCCTGCTCCATCGCCTCCTGTGATTTGAAGAATATATCATGACACAGCGCGCGCACAACCACGAGGAACACGAACCAGACTGCCCATGCCGCGATACGCCTTCACGCGCTTACCCTCGTGATAAAAGTACTCTCCCGGTGCCTCCGACGTGCCCGCAAGCAGACCGCCCATCATTACTGCTCCCGCACCCAGCGCGAGCGCCTTCACGATGTGCCCGACATTCTGAACTCCTCCGTCCGCGATGACCGGGACACCGAATTTGCTCGCAAACTCCGCGACTGCATACACAGCCGTTGCCTGCGGCCGCCCAACCGCCATGATCTCCTGTGTGATGCAGATCGACCCGGATCCCATCCCAACGCGCAAGCCATCTGCGCCTGCAGCAATGAGGCTCGCTGCTTGCTCGCGTGTGACGACGTTCCCTGCGATGACCTCCAGCTTCGGGTATCTGCTCTTAGTCCACTTAATCATGTCGATTTGGAACACGCTGTTCCCCTGCGACGAGTCGAGCACGACGATGTCCAGCCCAGCCTCAACAAGCAAAGTGAGACGGTCGCGATCTGCGGGACGCGTCCCAACGGCTGCGGCAGCGTAGAGTTGCTTGCTGGCGGGTAGTTTGGAGGCGAGCGGGAAATTCTGGTTTTTCAGGAGGTCGGACCGCGCGAGAAGGGACGTGAGCCGGCCTTCCTTGTCGACGATAGGCAGCTTGCCCTTCTTGGAGTCACGGAGAATGTCGTTAGCCTCCTCGAGCGTGACCCCTTCCGGCGCAGTCACCAGACTGCTGGTCATCACGTCGGACAGAGGCGTAGACGAAGCACGGAACTGGATGTCGCGATTAGTCACGATCCCGAGTAGTTTACCGCCCAGCGCGCCGGAATCTGCAAGATGACATCAGTGCCTGGTATAAGAAGCGAAGGTAACGGAGACGAGTCAGAAGAAAGCCAATGATAATCGGTTCCGCATATCACGCGTGTACAACGCGTTGCTCGGAAGAACGAAGGTATGGATAGTAAAATCATCACAATACAGTGCCCAAATTGGCTCTAGGTCAAACGCACGCTACTTACCAGTGATGGGGATACCAGAGAAACCAAGCCGTTCCTTTACATCGAGTACGTCCTCTACACGATGAGAGGGTGACAAGACGACGGGATCCGTGATGAAACCGTTCTCGTGACGCTTTACGCGACGCACCATGGCAGCCTGGTCCTCGGGCGACTGATTGTGATGGATGACACCGATGCCTCCGAGGAGCTACAAGGACAAGCAGAGAGTAGTCGAACACACTGCAGGAGTCGTGCGGTGTACACGCTCACCGCCATAGAGATAGCCATCTCGCCCTCTGTGACGGTGTCCATAGGACTGCTCATGAATGGGGTCTTGAGAACGACATTACGAGTAATCTTGCTCTCCGTAACGACTTCGTGGGCGGCGAAGTCAATTTTACCAGGCAGCATGAGGAAGTCGTTGTAGGTCAAACCGCCGTGAATTTTGGAGTTCATAAGCTCGCCAACGGAGAGGCCGTCGGCTCCATCATAGTGCTTAAGATGCTCGAAAGCTTCAGAGGGGTCGAGAAAGGTTTTGGTGGGCATTGTCATCACTTGAAGGGAAAGAGACGATGGTGGCAGCCAGTAAAACTGACAAAAGGGAGAAATTTGTGCTTTCTGCGGGACGGGCGTCTAATGTCATACACGTGATTGATCTAAATGGAGATATATAACATATTTAGTTTGCGACTTAGAAGCAGGAAGTATTTAAATGTTAATCAGAAGCTCCTTTTTGTATGCAGTAAGGCAATTAATTGGAGAACTGCGACAAGCGCCAGGCGCATCACTACGTTAGCTCGCAGTGAATTTCCTCGGAACTCATTGACGAATGCGACGACTGAGGCAGTAATAAAACCGATACATATCTCAATAGCGGCGCTGCAATAAGGCTGTGACCCACTTCACTAGCCGGTGGTACAAGAACAGCCATAAAATCACCCCGATCAAAATCTACACAACAATGGCCCGGGGCCGTACACACAAAGCAGTGACTGAGAATATCTGGAGTACGACGGAGATGATCTGTACTCAGTACGCGGCACAGGTAACATCCGATCATATTCAAAGACGTTGCAACCGATCGTGACGACGACGCTGGATGGAAACGGAACCATTTTCAAGCACACATGTCACACACATGGACATATAATCTCTGCAGACAAGTCGAATTGGAAAATTACGTACTTCTTGATTTGAATTTTAAGTCGTACTCTACAGAGACTTGCATATTCTGCGAGCAGACTCGGAGTAGGTATCAGCCTCAGGCGGATGGCTGTGTCGCTCATCTTCCGGCTTCCATCTGCACATACTGACCGACGTGACTTGAAGGACGACACGAGCCTGATGAGTCGACATAAAGATAGCCATCCTTGATGATGATCTCTGTCTCAAATTCTAACCCATCTGCCCACCTGGACTTGATATCATAAGTACTCACCTGTGCACGGTATCATAGCGCCTTCTCCAGAACATTTGGCGCCATGTGGAGAAATGCATCGAAATAGACAGGCGGCATTTAGAGCATAGGAAACTCGTCTGCGCCCAACACGTTGTTCAAGATCGAAATCATATCGAGCCTGAGGACCAGGGCTAAGATTGTTGAACTGGTAGGCTCGTATCTGGGCTGTGCCGGCGTTGCGACCATAGGGCGCTCCGGAGAGGGAAAGGCACCCAACCACAAACGTCGACGCCTGCAATGCCATGCCACTTACCGGGACCGGCACTTGCGTCTGCAGCTAATCCCCGAACCACGATATCAGGCATCGTGGCCGTGACACATCTGTCCTCTAGCTCCCGCCCGTTCTGCACCTATATATGTGCGGGCGCGGGCGGACATGTCGGCATCTTCGCCGTCCACCCACATTTCATTCCCTTCCTCCCGCACCAACCCACACTCACACCCCCCGCAAGCTTAGGCCGCATATATGCGTCTGTTCCCGTCGTGCCTTCTTCTTGCGGGCAGTGCTGCCCTCTGCGCCCGTGCGGCAGACATTTCGGAGAGCAGCATTGAGGTGTCCTTCCGCCCACAAGACCTTCCACAGAAGACGACAACTTGCAAAGCACTCAACCGCGCCGCGCGAACGCTGGAGGATATCCAGATCGGTATGCGTCTTTCTCGCTTTCATATCAGCGTGCTCGGCTTACCAGCGTGTTGCGACGAAATAGAGTACATCGACGTGAACCCGACAGCAGAACGGACCCTCCTGATGGTGCACGGTTGGCCCAGTCTCTGGCATAGCTGGAAGTTCCAAGTCGAGGAGTTCAAGGTACGCGTCCATTCGCTTTCGTCACGCTCCCATGTCTCCTGTCAGACACCTCGGAATCTGTGTGTGAATACGGCGTGCAACGCACGTCCCGTTTGCCCTCGTTCTATGTGCATAGCCCGTCGCCTGATATTCGCACTGACCTCCCGTCCAGGATGACTACCGCCTCATCATTCCGAACAACCGCGGCTTTGCAAACTCCACACATCCCGGGGACTTCGTGGCGTCTGGTACCTGGGCAGATATGGTTGGTGACCTTATGTGTGTCCTGGAGCATGCTGGGGTCAACACCGCTGTGTGCATGGGGTACGTTGGGTCCTACGTCCTGCTCTCCCTTCTCTCGTCCTGACGCCATTCTTCAGACATGACTGGGGCAGCGAGCTCTGCTATGAAGCCGCACGCATGCGGCCCGACCGCATCACCGCCGTGCTTGGTGCTGTCGTCCCATACATGCCCTCCGAGGGCTCTTTTGCGCCATCGAGCGCGCTCGTGCCGTACCTCCCGCGGCTCGCATACCAGATCTACCTGGGAGAGTCCCCCGACTCCGCGTCCGTGGAGCTGAACAAGGACGTGCGGCGGACGCTCAGGGCAACGTTGCGCACAGTAGCGAGCCCTCCGCCGGAGACATTCTTAGAATCGACGACAACGTACTTGGGCGCATGGAAGGAGGTGAAGGAGGTGAGTAACGTAGAATGCGTATGTTGATAGATGACCGACGCGCACAGATTCCACCTATCCCGTTCTTCACAAAAGAGGAGGAGGACTACTGGGTGGAGCAGTACAGCATACAGGGCTTCGAGTTCAGTAAGTCACTTTTGCATTTTGTACATCGATGTCATCTAACATCACTTGCAGCTCTTGAATTTTACACCATAGCTGTATGTCATGCGCTTTGCTGCGTCTCTCGCTCGTTTTCTGACGCATATACCCTACTATCCGTAAACATACAGAATCAGCTTGGTTCCTGGGAGTTCATCCACGCGCAGGGTAACTACACCATACCCCAGCCAGCACTGGCAATCCTTCCGATCCATGTACGCGCATATATTCACCCCTGACTTCTATGTCTCATGGACCTTCCGACATTGCTGCACAGGATCCTGTCGCAAACTGGGAAAAAGCCATGCAGCTACTCAGGTCGCAACACTTCCTTCCGAATTTAGCAGTGAAGGTAACGTTGCTCGTGTTAGGTCTATTGACTCCTGGCTGATGGACCGGGCGGATAGACTATGGATGGAGCGCATTGGCCGCAGCTCGAATTCCCGAAAGTGTTCAATCGTTTTGTGCGGGAGTGGCTGAATGAGATTGAGGGAAAGGAGACAAAACCTCAGGATACGGAGCAGGCAGTACTTCATGTGCGTTCGGCGGGTGAATTATGATAGAGGCTCCTGGTCAGCGCACTCCCTGTAATGTTAAACTCTTCTCTCTCAAGCTCGGCAAACGTTCCACATTGTATCTGCATAGAAGGCGGAATGGATCGGGATTCCCAGGTGGATTGATATTATTGTAGTTTAGACAGCCACTGTAATGATTTGTAGTGTCAATGATATTTTATTCCGAATCGCATCGTGGAATTTTGTATCACCTCTGCGATTACACGATGCACGTCCTAGATCCGCACGAAGCATCACTAAACTAACTTCCAGCCAAGTCTGTCAGGCAATTCCAGACCGCCCGATACAGCGCGCCTGTCATTTCAACGACCCACTGTAAGCGATATGTAGGGGTGGTAAGCTCGAAAAGCACGAGGGCCAGTTTCACTCTAGGATTTTCTCGATACTGTGCATATACAAATCGATACGGGCTTTAGGGATATATTGGGGGCTGTACATAGAGTATATTCTACCAGAACGTCCACCGATGGCTGCCAATGTCGCCAATATTATGATTGTTCTACCGATGAATCAATGTCAGCATCGATTGCATTGTGAGCGGAGTTGAATCATGATGATGTGCGCCGCACGAGTGTTACTTAAAGATTGGAGGAGGTCGAGCTGGTGGCCCCTTTCCCTCCGATGTTCACCTACCAGATCATTCGCCTTCTTCACCTGTACAAAATAGAATGTTTGAAGGCCAAAGCCTTCAGCTTCAACTTGGCCGTATTAGCGATAACTTCGCAATGTGTTGAGCGCAGCAAATTCAATCGACTCGGTACGCCACTACTGCACGTGCCTTTGTCTTCCAGGGGTAGCTCCTAGAGTGAATTGCCTCCGCTTGGTCCTATGAGATTGGAGGGTAAGTGAATGTATACAAGGGTCCCCACAAAACGAAGTTATTAACTTGCTAGAGAAAGAGTTTCAAGAAAGAGTGCAATCGGCATGGGTCATTCTCCCACGCGCAACATGGAGTCGCGTCGCGTCGCGACGCGTCAGTCACGTGGGCGTCAGTAATTGGCGCATAAAAAAGACTCGGGGGGATGTCGATGATTCAGCAGATCGAGTGAGTCAAGATCTCCCAGCGGTCGAAAGAAATAAGCCGCATAAATCCCTGGCCAAAGGTGAACATGCTCTGTCCGTGCGGCCTTTGCAACCTCGTCGACGAGGCGTTTTGTGATCGCCTATCGCAATCGTTTCACACGCGCTGTCATCTGGAGTCACGTTTGGCCGAGTCCGGTATAATTACGGCAGGCGGGGCGCCATCCTCACCCAGGCAAAGAGCTAGAAGCCTTGGGCAAGATTTTCTTCTACCTCTCTCCTAATCATCTTCCCGTTTGCTGGAGAGATACATATAAACCAGGAGCAGGGGCGACAGATCTGTGTCCTTTCTGCTCCAGCCATGCAGTCACACACGAGTGCCGAGTCTACTCAGCAGAATGCTGCTGCCGGCCATCCTGTTCTTTCAAGGCTGAACACTGCCGGCCTTGGAAGTCAGTCGCGGACGAGCGACAACCATCTCCCCACTCCCCCGCCTTCTGCTAAACTGCCCATGTCGATGCCAACGGCAGCAGTCGATATGTCAATGGCAGACATTCTGCCGCCGGGTGGCTTGGAGCGCCATCAGCAAACTCATCCTCCGATGCAGGCGATATTGGATCCGGGATATCCTACGGCGGCGCAGATCCAGGCTTATAACCAACAGCAGCATGCTCGGGCTCAGCAACTACTCCAGCAGCAAAGTCTACAACGGCCCAGCTCGGCGCACGCCTATCCTCCTCAGCCATCCGCACATCCTTCCACCTCCCAAGGCCAGCCCCATCAACGCCGCGATCAAGTGCAAGTGCAAGGTCGCCGTGAGAGTCAATCACGGCTGCCTTCTGCGGCAGGACAGTTTGATCTCCCGCGCCATGTCTCCGGCCATGGCCACAATTCCACTTCCTTGCAGCAACCAAACCAGGCAAGCGCGCTCCCGCCCACTCGTCTCCCGATGCTAACCTCTGCTCTTGCCCAGCTTCGATACATGCCATCTCAGCAGCCACTCGCGGGGCCATCCAACCACTCGCGCCAGGCATCATCACATAGGCCTCATCACAATCCCACGCCCAGCTCAGAGACGACTGTCGGCCCTCGACCTCAGCCCCTTCAGCCCCCAGCTCAGCCTCAACTTCAGAATAACGGGCAAGCTCAAACACAAGTGCAAAGCTTTCCAAACTGGAGCCCGACGCAATGGGATACTGGTGCTCATGCGCGGGGGACATTTCGTGGTGTCCGCGAAATCATGGAGCAGACCATGGTCCGCGCGGAGGCGACGCTGCACGAAGAGCTTTCAACGATTAAAGAGCACTATGGCGCCCGTGAAAAAAATGCCGTTCGTTTGTTCAATGGACGCATAGCTGAGCTTTATGCTATGATCGCCGACAGCCATGGTCAGCGCGATGCGGCGCTGCGTGAGCGTGATAAAGCCCAAAACGATAGAGCGACTTTACTGGGGGCGTCCTTGAGGTGGAAGCAGGGGTTCATGAGTTTATATGAGAGGGCAAAGCAAATGAATGACGAGTGTCTGAGGTTGTGGAACGATAGGACGCGCTTGAATGCGGCTTTGGCGAAGCTAGTTGTAGAGGCAAGCGAGCGAGAAACTAATGGCTCTGTAAACGTGTCTCTGGAGAAGGAACGGAACCTACTGATCTCAAATCGTGCGTGCCCTCGTTGACGTTCGTATGGTCATTCGTCTTACCTGTGTTGATTTGAGTCCTGGAGCAGACAAAGCAGGAAGAGCAAATGAGAAAGTACGAGGAACAGAAGAGGATAAAGGCGGAGCACGATCTCGAGCTGATGAAGGAATATTTCAGAAAGGTGCGCGTCAGGTTACATTTGGAACTTTGCACTCCCAGCTCATGTGTGCGTCCCTTAGAACGTATCGCAGCAGAGTTCTTCAGCGGAAGGTTCGGAATCAGGGTCCTGGCAAGAGCTTCCGCAGGCCATCGCTTCCATCCTCAAATCGCCATCTGCGGGGGCTCAAGCTCAGCAGCCGTTATCCTCAGATTCTGAGCGGGTGCATGCACCTAAAATTATGCCTGTCGCTGCTGGTGTTGCTGGTGTGGTGACGCCTCCAAACTCGAGGCTGGGGACTGCTGACCCAGAAGGCGGAAATAATCGTGCCCTCTCTTCCCCTTTACCACCGGCAATGCAAGACGTCATTGATCTCACGCTCGAGGGATCCGATGAGGAGCGTGATGATAATCTATCACGAGTGGTCGCGGATGCGCATGAAGTGGGGAAGAAGCGTGAGCGAACTTCATCAGAGGCAAGCATTGCAGAAATGGTCTTTTCAGCAAAGAGGAGACGGATAGCAGAGGATGCGGATTTCAGCACAAGTGCGGATCCGGTGGCTTTCTTTTCGGAGAGATGGGCGAGTCTCGAGCGGGACATTGCAAAGATGCTTGGACCTATCTCGTGGCAGCCGCCTTCGCAGGTGATCGCTGAAAGGATTAATATTTCCACTCCTGCCCCTGCTCCTGCCCCTATTGTGAATCCCTTTTCGAATGTAGCAGGAAGGTCAGGACAGGAAAATGCGGAGCCCCCCTTACGGACGCAGCCCGATGCGGAGGCAGAAATAGCTGAGCGGGATATGGTGATAGACTTGCAGTTGGAATACGATGACGACGAAGGCGCAGGGGAGGACGAGGAGCGCAAACCGGATGCCGGTCAGCTAAAACAAGAAGAATCCGACGAACTCATCAAAGAAGAGGAGGACGTCAAGCCAGACGTGGCTGTGGCTTCTCCCGCTGCTGACTTTGCTCCCCTTCCAAATGCAGGGAAAGCCGGAAAAACTGAAACCGCACAAGAGGCAGAGGATAATGTTAATATGGGTGACGACACTCTGCTCGCCGACGATCAGCAACTATCAGGGTCGAGCTCGAGTTCGAGCACGATTCCGTCGCCAAGAAAACAATTGAGCATATCTCATATCGACCTCGCCTACCGGAGGACAGCTGATAATATGCTCGTTTGCAGGATGTGCAGGCACGTACCGTATGGAATCTTTCACTTAATTCAAGCACTGATTATTTTTTTTTGCGGCCTATGATAGCTCAAGGCAAAAACTTGTCGATACTTTTCCTGTTACTATATACAAGGCAGATGCTTCGTGGCAGGAAATCGTTAGCCACGTCGAGAGCGAACATCCGCCGGGATTTGAGTTGCTCGTCAACATGACTCCAGAAGAAATTGCAGAAATGAAGTTGACTCTCGACTAATTTATGTCGTGGTACTTTTTGCCTAACTTATTATTTTTGACGTAGGCAGCATTTTTACGAACCATGGTATTCTGACTCTAACTATCGTTTTACAGTCTTTAAATTATGGTTCATGACGATATTCCGCTTCTCAAGCACGAATTTGTTAATGATAAACTCTGAAATGTTTGCTTTCGACATGCTTCACAATAATATATTTACTTCCTGTATGCAGCTGAACCATGTTCTATGCTAGCGTGGTCAGCGATATCAACTGCCGCATGAGCATGAGCATAAGCATAGTACGAAGTAAAGGAGACGTGCATCCCAGTCTGCCTTATAAGCGTAACAACAACGATAAGTTACAAGCTCGTCGATGCAGGACGACTGACGTCGCGGAGAGAAAGTCCGAGAGACACCCTGCGCAATCCAGTGGGAGTCGGTGTTCCAACGGTATTGTCCCCACCATACGATGAGCCAGATAAGAAGATGCCGTCCCGTAACGGGGCACATGGCACGCTGTGACGATGCACGTTCCCTCGTGCAGCGACGTGCTCTCGATACTGGGCCATCCTAAACGAGCCAGACGCGCGAAGGCCCATCAACGGCGTACTGAACGAATATGAGGCCAACAGTCGCGAGGGGGACTGGGTACGGTTCGGAAACTGCTTGCACTTCTGTACCTCCTCGTCGAGCCGCTTCCGGAAGTCCGCCGCGGTCGCGTCTCTCCAGAAGAGCGCTTCTGGATCGAGGTCCTCATCTTGTGAGTGTGCAGAGTGCGCGAGGTCGCGGCGGTCGCCGAAGAGCGTCCATGCGTCGTGCGCGCGGTGCTCGGCGGGCGTCGAGCAGTCGATGCGGGGGAGGAGGCCAAGACCGTTGAACGGCGACCCGTCTTCGTTCATCACACCTGAGAGCCCCAGGCCCACTAGGACAGACTCATTGCCCTCAGAAACACTCACGTTCGCGTAGGGGAACTCGCTAGACCCTGTCGCGCGTGTAGAAGGTGAGCGTGAGCGGCGAGAAGGCGTGTGTGTGAGCGAGCACGATGGGCTAGAGAGTAAGGAGATATCAGTCTCGTTGACCAGCGACGGGGTCCCATGGTGCGCGGGGCTGCGGACATCGAAGCGCCTGAAGAAGGCCGAAGATTTGAGTTTTGGACAGGGAGGCGAGGAAGGCTGGGAACGCGCAATATATGAGCATTTGCCATCCTCTTCGACGAGCCTCAATGCGTCCGGCGACACATCGAGCAAGTACCGCTCGGAGAGCTGAGCGAGACGCTGTTCATGTTTCGTGCGTCTTGCAGGGGAGATGGAGAAAAGCGCGCCGTTTTCGGAAAGCGTGCGTCGAGACGAGTAGGGGCGCACCTCTGCTTTGATGGGAGTGGTGATAGCGGTCGAGGATGGACTCTTCGTCTTGACGAGAACATAATGTTCGAGCTCCCCTGTAGCAGGATCGATGAGAGGAAGTGTCATCCGTCCAGAAGGACTAGATGATATGACAACGTAGGAAATACTGCGGGCGAGACGGTGGGTGACGTTTGAAGGGGCCATGGCGAGAACCAAGAGTACGCGAAGATGAACAGTTGCTGTGGGTAGGTTCGTGTCGTTGCGTCGAAGTGTGGATTATTACCGGAATAACCAAGATGGGACCGCTTGTAGGAAGACTTGCTGTGAGGACAGGTGTACAAGACAGACACTTTCTCATGGGGACTATATAGCTCTGTAGCATGGCTGACAATGTAGCCCAAGAGGTTGGCGGTCAGCAGTAGAGGCTGTCCCGAGCAATATTCAGAGCAGGGGAATCTGTCAGGCCAGACTGAGATGTGAGCCTCTCTGAGGCCTAGGTAGGTTCTCCCGTCGATCGTGTCAACTGTGATACTTTCTTCCTGTGAACGAATTAGTTTGGCTGTAGGTTGCACAGTCTGATGGGACATGTTCAGCTTGTTTCTGGAAGCAAGTACAAAGGACGTAGCCGTAAAGTTCGCCTGGTTACCCGACCCATTTCATCCCCACACATGTCCGGTCGTCCATGATACTCATTTTATGCCGATGAATGCTGGCTGCAGCATGGACGCCCGATGCTGTCATTTGGGTGGCGAATGTGAGACCGATGATTGAATTCGTGAGCTGGCAGCAGCCTCATGGTTGGGGTGCGAGAGCATTGAGAAATTTATTTTCTGCAAGAATATGACTTGACGGCGCCCAAATGAAAATGGTTTCAATAAGTGACGACTAAGTGTATGAAATTGTGCATAAATACTTTTATCACTGAGTGTCTTCCTAAGTATGTCGACAAGTCCACCCGGGGCGTGGCGACGGGCAGCCATCCCAGCCAGCAACGGCCCTGTTTTCTCCATTCTCTTGCCCGCATGCTATTCTCTGGGAATCAGGCCTGGTTCGAAAGCGCTGTCAACGAATACAATGGCGCGCATGCAGCCCATTTGTCTCGCCGGCGTCGGCGGTGATGATAACCGCAGCTCTTCTGGTTGCACACCCATGTGGACGATGCGAGCGAGATGAACCTGATGGATATGTTTGAAGGGTAAGTTTGTAGCATATTTCGGACCGAGTGTTGGCCGATGGCGGTAATCAGCCTCGAGGCAACCATGCTTACCTTCCTTACCTGGTCGTCCACCTCGTTGTGCGCCAGGGCCATGTCCCTCTTATTGCATGCCCGTCGCCACGTTGGAAACGCGAGTACAATGAATCACTACTGAAAGCTCGATCTCTTATCCGCACACAAAGTTCGTCCTGTTCCTACGATCCTCCTATCTGTCCTCCCCTTTGAACCAACCCAGATCATGTCTAGTCAGTCGCCGCAGCGTACCAGGAAACCTCTGATGCACCCAGCAACACAAGGTATGTCTTCTTTGTCTGTTTCATCCTTTCACTGTTAGCCCGCACGCGACCTGGTACCTTGCGATGGCTATAGACCTAGCGTTCGACTGGTCCGACTATTGCTCGCAGCGGACCCGTTGCTCTTTTGGCTACGAAGATCCTGCAGCGTTGTCTTTTACGTCTTTGAGTCTAATTGATCAGAAGATGCATCTTTTCGGATGGTTTTTGCTTATGTTGGATTTCAACGTTACCTTTCGCAGCTGTTCGTCGCAACAGTCGATCAGCCTTTCGCCTTCGTTCTAATCATCGGCTTCTAAGTGATGTAACGCTTGACGACGGCCACAAGCTTAGCGTAAATGACCCGATCCCATTTTGCGGACCTACCACCTATGCCCGCTTCTTATTTTATTGTTTATTGAGCGGTGAGGATGCTATGATCGTATCCCCACGGCGTGAGGATGTGGTGATAGCTCCATCGTAGATTACTTTGGCAATAGGGCATATCCGAACGTCTCGCTCCACAATCTTCACCACTGTAAAATTTTCATGCCCCTTGGTACTCATTTCCACTCCTCGTTATTTATAGGAACCATCCAAGGCATTGCGCCCCGTGAATCGACACCATCGCCTTCTTTTCGTGAAAGACAGCGGGCCGCAAAGGCACACTCTATGCCCAACGTGCCATCGGTCGCACAAGCTCTTGCCACCCAGAATTCGCAAGCCATTTATCCTCCAGGTCAACAGCCTAGTCCAACTATTTCGAACTCTTCTCAGCAGTCTCGACGAACGCCTCCACCTACTTCTCGCATCTCTCCTGTTGCTTCGAAGATGTCTGTTTCAACACATGCACGTGAGCGCAGTCCCGAACGACTGAATTCTCCACCGCCACTTGTGCACTCTCACAGCCAGCCGATTATCCCTCATCTCATCCCGCTTCCGCCAGGAGGCCCGCATCATAGCCAGAGCCAGCCCAACGTCCTTGCGCAGGTTGCGCAGAACCCTCATCATCCACGGCCCATCAACCGGGTTCCGCCTCCACAGTTCTTGACTCAGTACCAGGGTGCGGATGAGAAGTGGCAGATGACGGAAGAGTTAATGGCAGAGATTGAAAGGGCAGATTTGCAGCAGGCGCAGGGGCAGTTCTCGCATCCTGCAGGGACGTCTGGTGTCGCGTATGCGGGCGGCGCGGCGTCGAGTGGGTTAAGCCTGCTTTTGCAGCACTCCATGAACCCTGCGGCGAAGGATCCGGCAGTTGAGAGAGTGCGTGCGGGAGGTCGGTCCAGTCCTAAGGAGCAAGACAACGGCAGTGCCCAAGCAGCAAAGCGTCAGGTGCGAGAGAAGGAAGCCCAGAATGCGCGCGAGAGCCCGAAGACCCGTGACCGTTCTCAGACGGTCTCGTCCATCTCCTCGCTCGAGAATCACTCGGTCGCTAACCGTACGCCTGAGTATCGCGGATCGCCTCAGTATCAGACGCCAATGGCGTCACCGGGTGAGCGAACCGCTGCCTATACGCAGTACGTGTCCGAGGGCTACCAATCCGGCAACGCACAGGGTCCCACGCCGCCTGCCCTGCGAAAGCCTGCACTTGGTTCTGCTGCCGCCGAGGCAGCTGCGACGCGCTCGACCCCCCCTGCCACGTCGAAACTTGCTGCATCGAGTCACACTCCCCCATTGCAGGCTATGGCGACTCGACCCCCCGATCGATCCCTGCCAGTGCAGGAAGAGCCTGAAGAAGATGTTGGGCACTATGTTGACCACGATCCCGAGTACGAGGACCGTCACTCGCCGATACCGACTTCTGAAGTCTATCCGGAGGCGGTGCGATACGAGGCACGTCGTGAGCACAAACGTGCAGCCAGCAATTCTGACGACGATGAAGACGATATGACGTTGAACGAGGAAGTTGATGACGAACATCTGCAGCAGGGGAAGAACAGTGAAGAGTCAGAGACCGGTTCTGGTTATACTCCCCGTTCTCCTTCAGTGAATCTACCCGATCGGACGATGCAATACGTCGCATCTAATGGACAGTACTCGCAACCAAATGGCCAGTACGCGCAGGTCAACGGAGACTACCAGAAGACGGTTCGGGCTAAGCATCGCTCGGGATCGACTGATCAATTGGGCATGCGGAGCTTCGACCCGACTTTATTTGAACACACGGTTAATAGCTTGAGAAGCAGCGACCAGAGTCCCTCTGCGAGCACTCAGCGGCCATCTGCACCCCAGCAACAATCAACAACACAGCCCCAGCAGCTTGCAGATCTGTCGAGACAGCAAGCTGAGACCGCTCGTCAATATGCCGCGGGGCGCGCAGGAGAACAACGTATGGTCTACCCTCCATTTCAACCCCCCTTACCTCTTCCTCCCCCAGATGAGTTGCAGAGTGTGCTTGAAGATCCGACTTCTTCATACATCCGCTCGTACCTCCAGACGCCCGGATCTCGTCCTAACGCGCCCATCCCTCCAACACCGCATTCGCAGACGGCCGCACCGTCCCCCCTTATCTCTGCCATACAATCCGAGATAGAAACCCGTCCGATTGGCTCTCCGTACCCATATCCCTTCACTCACATACGGCGCACCGCTATCGCAGCCGCGCAGCAGGCGCCTTCATCCAGCTTTGACATTAACAGCCCTGAATTCATTCGTGAGCAGATCCAGCGCCAGTTGCAGGTCTATGCGATGAACAATGGTCTTCCTCAACCCCAGACGGACTCGACATTCTCGCCTCCTGCGACGCCTTTCCCTGCCCCAGGATATTATCCGTATCCGTTCCTGCCCATGATGGGTATGCAAGGCACCGGCGGCCACGGGGGCGCAGCCGGCTCAACGATGAGCATTCGCTCGAGCCCGAGCCATGAGCCAGTGCAGCTGCCGCCGCCACCGGCGATGCGTGGACGCGGCCTGAGGAAACGAGAAACGGCCGTAAACAACCTTCGTCCTGTGCAAGGTGGCGCGCGCACAGTTCGACGCGTGAAGCCGCCGCCTCGGGTTGAGAGTACACAGCCACGCGAAACGAGTCCGGAGCCGTCCTCGGGTTCAGGCGAGGAGACCGCTGGCGAAGAGCGGTTTGTGGACCAGTATGTGGCCGAGGCCAATGCGCAAGCTTCTTGGGTGAACGGGAACGGCCATGGGAATGTGAATGGGAACGGGAACGGGGTAACGCAGCAAGTCGACGACGACGATGGCGAGTGGGTGGACGAGGAAGAGGAGGGTGAAGAAGAAGACTTGTTAGAACTTGAATACCACCCCACGTATGTGAACAACACCCAGAAACGCCGAAGGAGATGGGATACGCGTTGGGATGCGCTTTCGCAGGCGGTTAGTGTTTCGTCGTTTTTGGTGCCTCTGTCTACGGCTGACCTAGTCTGCTCGCTAGTTCCAAGCGCTGGATCGCGAGACGGATGCGACGTTAATTTTGCTAGCAGCCCCATCGCATTCAACAAAGCTTCACGCTCTCACGTCGCGTTCGATCCGACGAGATGCGGGTTTGTTAAACTCACCCAAGTTGGCGACCATCCGTGGCTCCTTTAATTATCTCGCTGCGCAGAGACGTAATGCCCGCTCGCTGCGCCCTTCACTTGTTGAGCGGCTACAGCTCTCTGCTGCGTCGACTTCATCTGCGGACGGCTCACCAGGAGCTGGAGGCTTGCGCGAAGAAGAGCTCCGGCGGGCGCTGGAGGTGGCTTTAGGGAGTCTTGGTGAGATGCGTCAGATTTACGACTTACGAGAGGCTCGCTGGCAAAATGAGATGCGGCATGTTGCCGAGGACCGCAGCAGGATAGAGTTGCTGGTGCGGCAGATCCTGGGACCGCATTTGTTGAATGGGCAGTCAAGCTGAATCACGGGAATTACGAAGATATAAACGATCTCATGCATGCAACAGGCTGCGCAGTGAGTTCCCATGGATCTCATGTAAAATACATGTATATCATGTAGAATATGTACACTTCATGAGCAAATGTTGAGATTTATTGATTTATTATTACCCTTTGAAGGACATGATGTTGCGATTATTTGTTATCGCACAAACTTGAATGATCGATCGACATCGTAGAATTTATTCCGCACTGCATAAAGCTTGTCTTAGGCTGCCATCCTTTCCTTTCTTGCCAGATCTTGGGCGAATACGATCACCTCATATCACGACTTCACGTCTGTTGTATCAACTGCGGAAACTAAACGTGATAGCAGAAATGAGCTCGTCAGAAGGTGGTAATGTCAAATCCATATATTCGGCACGACGAGGATCGCTAATTTACATCCTCTTTCTCCCAGTCTTTGTTGGAGTAATTGGGGGGAGTGGATTGTATCATCTAGATAATCTTACCTTTGTGTGAGTCGCGGATTCATCAACTCTGAGAGGTAAAGCTGATCCATAGGCAATTTATCAGGAAGCATGTCAACCCCGAGACAGTAGGATATTCTTTCATCACCTTAAAATCCACCAAACTTATCACGCTACACAGCCATGGGGGTACCCAAGCTCGCCCATTACCATTTGTGCCCTCCCTTCTGGTACCCAGGTAGCTTTCCTTGCCAGGCACGGCATCGGACATAGCATCGCGCCCTCCACTGTACCCGCACGCGCGAACATCGCCGCTCTCAAATCTCTCGGAGTGCGCGCAGTGCTCGCTTTCTCTGCCGTGGGTTCGCTTAGGGAGGAGGTCGCCCCAGGAGACTTTGTGCTGCCCATGCAAATCATAGACCGCACAAAGGGCGTGCGCCCCGCGAGCTTCTTTGAAGGCACGAGCATTGTTGCACATGCCGCTTTCGGCGACCCTTTCGCGAATCGGCTCGTACGATGGCTCGAGAGCCGCGTGCGCAGGGTGCTCGACGAGGAGGCTGTAAAGGCAGAGGCAGGCAAGGGCCCGAAGCTGCACACGGATAAGTGTATTGTGTGTATGGAAGGCCCTCAGTTTTCGACTCGCGCGGAGAGCCAGATGTACAGAGCATGGGGTGCGGATGTAATCAACATGAGCGTGCTCCCGGAGGCGAAGCTTGCGCGAGAGGCTGAGCTAAGGTGCGAGCAGCATGTCGTTTGTCTGCGGCATAGGCTGAGATACTCGTTAGCTATGCGCTGATTGCCACCGCGACGGACTATGACTCTTGGCGACCACATGAGGCTTCGGTGACTGCTGCGGAAGTGTTCAAGATACTGCAAGAAAATGCGCGCGTCTCCCGCCAAGTCGCAGCGACAATCCTAGAGGAATTGCATGCCGCGGCGGTAGACGGAGATCTCTTCTCCGAAGAGGTTGGCTCCATGCAATACTCCATCATGCCTCGTTCTGGCCAGCAGAAGGAGGAAGATAAGAAGAAGCTAGCTTACATTCTCCCGGCATATTTCAGCTGAAGAGCAGCGAATTGTACTGGCAGCAGCATATTCAATTATATAGACGAATGTATGGTAGGTATTCTTCGCGAGTTAGGCTTCAAGTGACACGCCCGACTTAAATCACGTCGTCGTGACCGTTGCCAGCCCTAAAATCGGAATTTGATGAACGGCGTCCGCCATGATTTCCTAATTAGCGCTATATAGATATTATTCGATGTCTACTTAGAAAGACAGTCTAGACGCCATTGGCTTATTGAGTAAGGTGACTAAAATTGGGAAAGCTTGCGGCGTTTCATCGCGTTTCATTGATTGTCGTTGTCAACGCGAGGAGCAACGACAACGAGGAATGGTTGCTCTTAGCCCGCAATAAGCCGGTCGAATCTTTGCATCGTCCTGCGGGTATCGCGCACAAATACATGGCAGTTGTACGGGAAGTGATAGGTGAGCTAGGAACCCTTCTGTTATTGTCCTGGGAGAATTCCAATCAGCATTCAAATTCTAATCTACCTGATTACCATTGTTATCCAGACGGTCCAAACGCTCGCCTTTCTCTTTCTATCAACCACCCACCATCGTCGTCTCCGTTTCCCTCTCCAGGCTCGCCCTTTCTCCCACCTCCTCGTCTAGGTGCCCACGAATTTGCACTGCGATCCACAACCAAGCGTAACAGTGCTCAGAGACATAAAAGCGAGGACCACATGGACGAGAATTCCACGCCCACAGCTGCGTCGATGAAGACAACGTTTGCGCGGACTGATGTATCTCCTCCCACAACGCCGACGATGAACGGGAATGGGCTCGTACAGACTACACCGCCAGCAACGCCGACGATTACTATCCCCGAACCACAGACTCCAGAGCCCGTCCTAGTTCATCACAACTCTCTCACCTCGTCTCGTCCCGCACCTCCGAGCCCCGCAGTCTCGCGCCGTGCGTCCACAGCGCTCTCGCGACGGTCCTCGGCTGCAAGGTCGCGCCGCCAGTCCAAAGTCCCACAGAGCTTGCACGACTCAGAGGCGTCCACCTCGTCGACTGCCACCGCCACAGTCGCGCTGCAGTCACAGCAAAAACGGCGCTCGCTACTCGTTAAAATCCGCGATTTCGCTTTTCCCAAGTCAGACGACCGGCATGTCGGACGCGGGTCTGACGTCCCGCGTGCGAACCGTCCACGACACCGCTCTTCGGCGTACTCAACCGCGTCGTCGTCGTCGGCGAGCTCGAAACCCGAGGAAGACGTCCTCATCGAGGACCAGCGCGGGAGCTGGAGTAGTGCATTCCGCTGGAACGCACTGAGCAGTCATTTCAGCTGGGGCTCGAGTAATGCCAGCGCTGCTCCGAACGCGGAAGACGGGCCGTCTCGCATGGATTTTGAGCGCAATTTTGATGCGTCGTCGCCAATGGAGGAGGGGCCAGATCCATACGAGAATGATTTCACAGAGGATGATGAAGTAGAGACATACCCAAGCGAAGACGCGCCTCCTGTCCCGGGGTTGTATCGTGCGCTCTTTTCGTTCGAGCCTGAAGGTACGGCCGAGATGGCGCTGGAAGAGGAGCAGATCGTACATATCATTGGGCGTGGAGGAGGCGTTGGCTGGGCTGTCGTCGAAAAGGATGATGGCGGACATGCGTTGGTTCCCGAAAGCTATCTCGAACTGGTCAAGCCAGATACAGACTGATTATTTCGTGGCTTTTCTCGTGATTTCGTTCGTGCAGGCGTGAACGGATGTTGTTCTCTTTTCTACATATCCTTCCTTATGGTCTGCTTGGTATTCGGCATGCATCTCTATGCATTCAACACGTTGTTAAGCTTGCCATACACCATTTCAGACATCGTTTGTAAAGTGTATATGTTCTTATTGCCGACGTCTCTAAGACAAGAGTCGCACTCTGCAATGGTTTTCGCACATACTGCCTCTCCTCTAGTTGATGAATCCAAAGCAGGTTGTCACAAGGAATCAAATAGAGAGGTGAGCACTCGTCTGAGGTGATGAAACTGTTCGAGATAAGACTCTATGAAGTGTTTGAGCAAGGCCAAATATTTGTCAATCATACCCAAATTGAGATCGTCGAGAAGATGGCGTGCTCAATAAAATCCAAGCATCTCATTCATGATAAAGATCTCCCGACTTCCAGCTCATTCGGGGTCCTGCCCAACGTGTGTTCTATCGTCGATGACCTTGTAAAATACAGGTATGAGTGTGGAGCATGGAGAAGTAGAGAATCCATGTTTGTCATTTGAACCTCCTTCCCTCCCTTATAGATGACTCCTTGGTCGGCGTTCGTGAACACAGCGAGTCGTCGTCGAGATGGACATCCAATGCAACAAGCATGTTGAATTAAGACCATCTTTTATATAGGTCTTCCACTACATAAGCATCTCATTTTCATATACATTCTGTTCCACTGACCACTGCATTATAGGCCTTACTGATCAAAACCACACCACCATATTCCACTATTTAGAGCTAAGGATCTATATAGAAGGGGAGAACGGGGCACTGAAAAGCTACAAAGTCATATGGCAGCCACATGGCTTGACTGTTGCTCCCTAATGCTCTGCATGTGGGCACAAGAAGGAACTGTGATAATAGGTTGACTACACAATATACAAATAGTAGAATTACTGTAGTAATAAAATAAATTCTGTTATATTCCTGAGTCAACAGTACCTGATTGAATTATTGCATAAAACCTTGAGCCTTATATCATGGGTGGTTTCAAGCTTCCCTTATAATTGTTTTGAAATCACATTAGTATAGAATATAAAGTTAATCCACAGGTATTTCACAAAATTCTTGGGCAGAATATATGAACCCCTGACACAGAATTTCAAAGTGTCTTTCTTATCTCATTACTCTCACAAATGCGGTCTTGCTCAGTAATACCCTATTTGTGATTGGCACAGTCTCTGATTGTACATATAACAATTCATGTTTATGTGCAGGATGCAATTTGCTCATAAACCTTGCACCACATCAGCAAGCATCACTAAAGTGTGTTGGACTAGCTAGAGCTTGAATAGTACTGCATACTGCAGTGAAACCCTTACTTGGATTGTGGTCACAAGTAAAATTTGGTGATAGGGTTGCCTATCTGTCCAAACTTGAGTTATAAGTAATCAAGTGTAGTTTACTTTAGGAAAACCTAACATATTCTTAGATAAGGGTTGAAATGTAACTTAAGTTGAGTGGTTCAACTCCTCTATGTAAGAATCATTGGTGTCACTATAGGAGGTAATAAGCAGGAGTCCTTCTAGCTATGCTATCTATGACAGGTGGTTGGCAATAGTGCAGATACTCTGAGCCCTGCTGGATTTAGAAAGAAGGGAGGAAGGAGGTGCTTTTATAGGCCTCTGATGATCAGTAATTAACACTACTGTTGCTTGTTCTCATAGAAAGGTAATTTGGGTCATATTATACTCCTTAAATCTAAATCTGAGTAATCTGGGTATATGCAAATGTAGAAAAGTACAGTGTATCAAGGAGATGTCCTGTGATTACAAACACATATAAACTCAGGAAACTCAGGAAACTTAGATAGTGGTACTAGTAAACATTCTTTTTTATTTATTTTTATTCTTGTTTATAAGGGTCTATACTCTAGCAGGTACTTGTAGACTACCATAACTGTTACAGCTTCAGGGGGGGTTTCTTTTCTTTTCCTAACTATTCATTGTTGACCCTGTACTATACAACTGATCCTATTACCTGATATGTTTCACCTACATCAGCGTTTCATATATATTGTGTTTCACCTATATCATATTTCAACTACATCACATTTCATGTCTATAGTGTTTCATATTCATCACTGATACAACCCAGTGAAACCTGTTTCATGTACATCACTGATCCAACTCAGTGTTTCATACTTATTAAACTCTATTTGTAGTACTATTTAAGTAGCACTACTTATGCTACTGTACTTCAGTTTTGTCCTCTTGTTCCCTACGTACCTTTATAGGGACATCCTCAGTAATAGACTCAGTTGTTGTTACAGCTTGGAGGGGGGGTTCTCTTTTCTTTCCTAACTATTCGTCGTTGACCATGTACTATACTCCTGATCCCATCACTTGATGCTTCACCACCATCATGCGTTTCATATCTATCTATCCATCACCTGTCCCTTGTCTCCTGTCTTACTTACATCACATTTCATGTCTATCATGTTTCATT